AAACTACTCGTACTCGTCCAGCGAAATTAAAATATTGTCGAATTGTAAATTAATAGTGGTTTCAATTATTAACCAGTCTGCATCAGCTACCGCTTTGAGGGGAATTCTTTTATACTACGCATTTATCTTTTGTAACATTCGCAAATAAATATATGTATACATTTTTTTTTCTACAAATGAAGAAAGAGGAACTTCCGGACTTCTACTGGTTAAAACCCTGTGTCGTAACTTTTTTACCTTTTACTATAATCGTTGGTTCCTTGCAACTGATGCAGCATCGCCAGAATCAACAACAAAAATAAAATAGCCAACGCCGTATTCGCGTGATGCCGTGACCGAATGATCATTTTTATGTAAATTATATTATACATAAGTAAATGAGGTATTATACTATTAATATTTCCCACAATTTATAGATCCATTTTGATATGAAGCCATAACAACAAATATTTACTAGTTATATTCAAAAGTCAGTTTGTAGCACTTTGTTGCAAAGTAAAATACACTTAATATCGTTGTATCCTGAAAGGATATCTCAAATAATAAATTGTACAATGACAAATCATCTGTGAGTGTGTCCGCTTCAATGCTAATTGTTTGGCCGCTGAAATAAATGTTATTTCAGCCGCCAAACAGCTGGCTTTGTTAAAAAACGAGAAGCTTCTCACTTCTTTGTTCTGTGGTGGTGTGTTTCGGGTGGTGTAAATTAAGACTGTGAAATTATAGTATAAGAAGCTCGTATTTTACTTCTCGGGAATGGCACTGTATGTTGGGTATAAGTTTACTATGAAAAAGTCTGAAAGATAGCGGTAGACAGTCCTGCCTCGTTGTTGGACAGTTTAAAATAGGTACCTCTTTTCGATAGTAGACGAGAATACGTGAACCCTAAAATATATAAATTTAATTATGTCACAAATATTATTGCGCATAAATAAATTCAACGTACCATTTTGGTTAAACAAGCGTTAATTTATAAAATGTAGTTTACACGTAATGTGAACGCACGCTGTACTGCACGAAGCAATTGTTTTTGGAAAATGTTTGCCTCAATCAATTATGCAAAACAATTAATTGTGTAAAACACAATTGTATTTCAGAACAAACGAGCAAATATGTCAGTTGAAAATCACTACTTTTCATATTCATAATCAGACAAAAATATGCATATTAAATCATGTTGCGGAGCTAGGCGTTAAAATGTTTCCTGTATGGGGACTTCGCTTATTATGAATATGAATCGCTAAGTATCTTGCTTTGAAATGTGATTAGGCAGTGAAATCTACATAGATGGTGGTAACTCAAAGATGACTGACGTAGTGATCTATCGACTCACAGCCCAAACAACTGGACGGATCGGGCTGAAATTTGGCATGCAGGTAGATTTTATGACGTAGGCATCCGCTAAGAAAGGATTTTAATTAATTCTACTCCCAAGGGGATAAAATAGGGGATGAAAATTTGTATGAAACTTTGTCAATTTTAAACCGATCGGGCTGAGACTTTGCATGCATAAAGGTACTAAGATGTAGCCATCCCCTAAGAAAGAATTTTGATAAATTCCACCCCGTAAGGGGTTAAATTTACGCGAGCGAAGCAGCGGGTAAAAGCTAGTTATATGAACAGATGCATGACATTCTTAGTCTGTATTATTATTTATTGCGTTGGGTTTGAGTTATTTTCAGGTGCTAAGACCTGTAATACTGCGACCTGTATAGATCTATTGTGCTCGCTTTTGTTCAAAGTTCGCTACCTAGACAAGAATTGAAGAATTGTTTTTTTTAATCCATTTCAGAAAACAAACGTTTTAATCAAGGTAAGAAAGACAATATACGTTTAATACAGAAGGTATCTTATATATGGAATAGAAAATCATTTATTCAAATAAACTTAATTTAAACCCTTTCGAATAGTCATAGTTATCATTCTTTTTACCGCTTATTCGGAATGCTGTCTCATCCCAAGCAGAATGAGCATAATATAAAATGTAATAGAATTTACAAAAGAAAATTTAATATTTTTTTGTTTAGATATGCAGACTCTTTGGTACATGGATCGACAAAATTGTTTCAGCAATCCGAGTCTCTTGTTCTATTTTCTTCTTGTTCTAGTTCTTAATTGAGTATGTTTTTTAAATCTTTTTCATATTATCCCGATATGAATATTTTAAATCGTTATAATATTTATGTAAATACATTCTATTTAAAAAAATTACTTTAAAAATATCTATAATTGTCTTAAAAAAATATAAAACATGTAAAGTAAATGAAATATACATTTTCGAATTGTAAATCAATTATCGAGCCAGGCTTTGTTAAAAGTCGTCTGCGTGAGTCTCACCTATCACAGACTCCCCTATTTCAGCCACCAAGCAGCTTGTCTTACAAGACATATTTTAATTTAAGGGTGAGCTAAGGTGCTAAAATTATATAGTGAGGCATCTTAGACCACATGAATGCAAATGTATGCTTAATTTTAGTCAGTATGAATGTACACATTTGTGATTTAAATATGCATATTCTGATAATAGGTTCCCGTGGGATTGTGATCAATATATATATATTGTATGCATGTACAATATCTCTCTCATAATTCGTAAATTTTGGACAGGAGGATTTTGTCCTTCTGTTTCATATACTAATTTCTCAGCGGATTCCAAGATCGGAGAGGTCGACAATAACAGCTTGAAGGCAGGATAAATCGGGATATCAAATCAAATCAAGATAGATATCTTATCTGTATATCTATCACAGAAGTTATAGAAACTTATGACAAATCTAATCTACCATTAGTATCGTACTGTAGTTTCGATCTAAGAAGAACTGAAAAGAAATTAAGATCTTACTTATTTCAATTAAAATTCTGTATCCCCGTAATTCGATTCCTCGCACGATACAAACATTAGTATCATGAGTATGATCATTTGCATCGGTCTGGGTGTTTTATATGTATATATATAAAAGTTATATTCATTTGTATTAGTTATCTAGTACATATAACACAAGCTATACTTAGGTCGGGACTAGATGACGCTGTGTGAATTGTCCTGATACGAGTGTGTTATTATAATTATCTGGCGATAATTTCTATTCTACACATGTCCACACGGGCGAAGCCACTAGTCACTAGCTTTCCGCCCGGGAAAGCTAGTGACTTAATAAAACAATAATTAAAACGAATATTAACAAACACTCAACTTAACAAACAAAAAAATATTATTTTTAATTAAATTTAATTATATTTAAAAAAAAAATTAATTAATTTGCTTTTAATTTTTTTTATAGTTATTGTAGAATAACTTTGTTGTTTCTCGTGATGAGTCTGCTTTCAGAATGAGTGGCAGAATCTAAAATTATGACTATTCCAACTGTTCATATGAATAACGATTATTTCTATTTCTGCATTTCTACCAGCACCTACCAAATATAGAAATTCGTTAGCAAATGTGACTAAAATAGTGTCGGTGTAAATGTAGCGAAGTGTTTGATAGGGTATTATTTTTCAATCATATATTTTTTTAATATTTCTTTTGTAACATTTTATTACACTATATTACTGTCATATTAGTCGCATTTCGCTTTAATATTTTCCCTCACAAAACCCTCAATACCTCTCACTCATCAGATACCTCCACTTCAATGTAATTATGGGAAAGGAATGCTACGTTGGTTTTGGTATGCCAAAAGGATTAGTGAAACAGTTATATAATACGAAAGGGGATGAATACAAGGGAGGCCCGGACCAACCTATCATAATTACATTGATCGTATTCCTTCTAATGGAGTAGTCAGGAGTCTATGCAACCGGTATGCAAGTTTTGAATGTGAATTAAGCATAAATTTTGTGTTACGAGAGACGTTAATAGCACTCAGTTCTGTCGGCGTAGCTCAAAAGGGATTTGGCGTCAGTCAGATAAATTGAAACTGTATCTATTTCCATTTCCAAACTTAATATACATGAGTACACATGATTGAAGCATAGTTAAACCTTAATTAAACTTGGTCACGTTTCAATTTCAATTCAATACAAGATAAAGACAAAGACACAAGACCAGAAAGAATTTTTACTTTATACCCGGTTAAAATGCGTTCATTTTTCAATCAGAATGGATTAAACTGGATCGTTGTTATAGTACGTGTTCGCTGTTACCAGACAGGAACACTTACGAATATAAATATTTGCACTGTGCAGGGATTGAACCCGCGACCATTTTCTTGTCGTTTTATTGTATTACTCATAAAAATGTCAAAGGCAAGAATTCTACTGCCGTCTATCAAGCTGTAAATATAAATAGAAATAATCAAATAAACTTATTATTCAACAAGTTCGAATAGTCATTTTCAGATTCTACCAGCCAATTTGGAACACAGATTTGATTACGTAGAATGAACAAAAAAATTACCTGACGCTCTTTTGAAGAAGTTTACTTATGTGTATGAATATAAACTATGGTAGATATTAAGTAACAAAGTAAAAAAGAGTGAGAAAACACGATAGTAGTTAAAAATAGTAGTTCATTTAATTTTGGTATTAAATATTTTATCACATGGAGTTAGTTGAGGGATATCTTGGTATCGAGAACCCCTTATCTCCCTGGGGCGGGCGGAGAACCAGCTAAATGAAGATTCTTTCATTTTTTACAAGGATAAAAAATGTTTAAAAATGTAGCCATTTTAGATATTTTTTTTTTCACCATCTTAGTTCTATGGTACCTTAATGTGTGATATCAATATAAAATACACATAGAAAAATTGTGGTGATTTAAATTTTTGTTATCGATACATTTTAATATAAGGTCTTAACATGACTTTAATTGTCGAAAGAAATATCTTATTTACCATATAACAATTCGTATCATGATCCGATTGAGTGTAATAATAAGTTGTTTAACTAAATAACTATCGTTACTTTTAGCGATATTTTCGATAAACCGCCCATCACTAGTTCCAAGCGTACCGAGTGTTTAAGGGTTCGGCGGCTGGTTCAAAGCGTCGAGTATTCGTTCTCGCCCCGTCTCGATCGGACGTGTGCAAGCTTCCGTACCCAGAGACCCGCGTACGTGTTCTATTGCAGCCGAGGATAGTTGGTAAGAGGTTTTATTTATTTTATTATAGCTTATCCTGACTGGTGATGCAGAGGCAGAAAGAGGAATCAAGAAAAAGCTGTTCTGCTCTTCAATTTATAACATAAGTTTTTTAATAATCAATTTTTCAGATTTAATGTTTAGTATAATAAAATTAACAGGAATACTACATTTATTCTGATGGTGCGTTCCCGTGGGATAATTTACAAAGAAAAATATTTGAAGAAGCTGCGCGTTCGTCCGTTATATTTTAAAATTTTTAACTGTTTGAACTTTTCTTAAATATATGTGTTGCAATCATATATGGTATATCTACAAGTAAACTATATTAACACTTGAGATTTGTACTAAGAATGGATTTTCTTATAAGAACAAATTTTCATCGAAACGGGTAATAATTTTTATACTTCGTTATACGATTATCCCTACAATAGGACCGCCTAAATAAATGGGATAAGTAAGAAGCAGATGATGATGGTATACTGTGATGATCGCACTTATTTGCGATACTGGATATACTCGTACATTTATTTTAACAGTGCGTTCCCGAGGGATAATTTGCGTACTTTACGTATATTAACCGCTGGGCGTTCGGTTATTATGTTTTCGAAAATAATAAGCTTTAAATGTTAAAAAAATATGCAGTTTACTAGAAATGTTAGTTTTGGCGACTTTAATACAAAAAAATATAAGAATTAGTTTCCAGTCGATATGAATGTCAATAAACTCGACTATTCATTTAATTATTTGCAAAACATATATTTACTCTAACAAAGGATTTTTGTAAATTCTTATGGAATCAGAACATTTATTTTCTATAATTAATTATGAACGTAAAAAAATATTTCGAAAATTATTTGTCTGTGCACTAATAGATTTGGGGATTATGAATATATATTTATTTTAATATTACGTTCCCATGGAATTATTTACATAGAATATACTAATAAATACTATGTAAAAAGCTGGGCGTTAATTTATAATAATATGTCAATAAAATCTGCATTTTAGATTGATTTTATTTTTGACATAATTTAATACATCGTAATGTTCAAATAAATTAAACTAGTTATGAAAAGTTCCATATTATCGGTTTAGAATAAAAAAACTATAATTCATAACGGATTTGTACGTAAATCGCACGGGCGTCATTAAAATCTGAATATATATTTATTCTGATAGTGCGTTCCCATGGGATGGATAATTTATGTAAATGGGACCGCTCCACCTTCGTTTATTTATTTTCGATAATAAAATTGTTTAAATCTTTCTTATTTTTATTATAAAAGTTTCGTTAAAAGAAATATATAAAATTTGATCATGTCATACGAAACTATTTATAGAAAAATTCGAATAGAAATAATAGAAATAAACGTGAAAAAGGTGACATTCCATATTAATCGTTTGGAATTGAAAATATATATTATACAACGGATTTGTAATATCAAATTTATGATTTTATTTATATAGATTTATTTTATTTTATTTTTTATTCTGATAGTGAGTTCTCATCGAATGATTTACAATTGTATTTTACGTACAAGAAAATGCTGGGCGTAGTTGGGTTTTTAATAAAACTATATATTATTAGTAGACATATTTGGTAATTTTTTTTTGAGTCAAAGAATTGATTAATAATTAGACTGGACACGGTATAATTATTAATAGACAAACTGTTTTAACTCTTCAATTATATGCGTATACAAAGTAAGGATCCGCTAAGAAAGGATTATTGAACATTTTACTGTTAAAAGGAATTTCCTTTTAACAGTAAAATGTTAAATATCTATACAATACTAGTAATTTTACTAGTATTGTACAGATATTTCTATGAGAACAGTTAAGTTCTCATGGAATAATTTATATTAAAAAATATCTAAATGAAAACGATGGGCGTTCGTTTATTAGATATGCTTCGATAAAACTGTTTGTATTTGTCTATAAAAAACTGCATCATATTTATTTTAATCAATTTTTAAAGCAAAGTTCAAAATTCATATTAACATGAGTTAGATCGTTAAGATCTGAAAAAGAACTGTATTTTTCCTTCAGTTAAATGCATTATATAAGAATCCGCTGGGAATGTATATTTAAAAAATCGGAAAATAAAAAAACCCAAAATCATAGAGGATGCGAACGAGATATCATAATTTGAATTTTAAATATCTACAAAAAAAAATGATTTTTCATTCAGTTATTTGGATTAAGTATGCATCCGCTAGTAAAGTGTATTTAAATATTCGGGAAATTAAAAAAAACCCAATATCGTAGCGGATGCGAACGAGATATCATTTAACAATCTACCAAAAATACTGTATTTTTCTTTAGTTATTTGCATTATGTATGCACCCGCTGGGTAGGTATGTATATTTAAAAATTAGGAAAAATAAGAAATGAAAATCTAAATATGTAGCGGATGCAAACAATGAATTTTGTATACATCCGCTGGGAATGTATATTTAATATTTCGGGGAATTTTAAAATCCAATATCTAACGAGATATCATATTTACGTGAATTTTAAAGATCTAAAAACTAAACTGTAATTTTCATTCAGTTATTGGGATTTTACATCCGCTGGGAATGTATATTTAAAATTTCGGGGAATTTTAAAATCCAATATCTAACGAGATATCATATTTACGTGAATTTTAAAGATCTAAAAACTAAACTATAATTTTCATTCAGTTATTGGGATTATACATCCGCTGGGAATGTATATTTAAAATTTCGGGGAATTTTAAAATCCAATATCTAACGAGATATCATATTTACGTGAATTTTAAAGATCTAAAAACTAAACTGTATTTTTCATTCAGTTATTGGGATTATACATCCGCTGGGAATGTATATTTAAAATTTCGGGGAATTTTAAAATCCAATATCTAACGAGATATCATATTTACGTGAATTTTAAAGATCTAAAAAGTAAACTGTATTTTTTATTCAGTTATTTGGATTATACATCCGCTGGGAATGTATATTTAATATTTCGGGGAATTTTAAAATCCAATATCTAACGAGTTATAATATTTACGTGAATTTTAAAGATCTAAAAACTAAACTGTATTTTTCATTCAGGTATTTGGATTATGCATCCGCTGGGAATTCACATCCACTAGATATCGGATTTTTAAAATATTTAAAAATCCGATATCTAGTGGATGTGAACCAGATATAGCCGTCGCCGTTTAAAGTACGGAAATGGAGCGCCCGAGGTCCATTTATTGTATGCACTTTCTAAAAAAAACTGTTTGGACATTACAAAATAAACTGCTCCGTACTGCAGGCTATTTTTTAGAGAAGTTTCCATAAAACGAATTAATAATTCCAATAACAGTAATCGAATCTACAGATAGGTTTTTTTTTTTAAATTCTAACTAAACGGGAACCTGAAATACTGTTTATTAAATAAATAGCTGGAGCGCCTAATTAGAACTTTATAATAAAGTTTGGTTAAAATGTAGATTAAAAGAGATTTCTACATTGCATTTGTATATAAATCGGAGATATTTTGGATTCCACACATTTATTATACTTTCGAAAAAGTAACAATTCGAATTTGTGAATAAAAACTGAAACGCAGTTAGAGTAAAATATTGTTTGACGAGTTTTTTTACGTAAACAGAATGGGTAACAAACTTACGATCAAAGGGGCTAATTGGAAATCGGCGGCGCCTTTTTACATCAAGAGGCCCACGAACATTACGTATTCAAATAAAACTAATGCTTTGTTAAGTGCATTATATAAATTGCAAAATGCATTATAAGACGCATAATTCATCAAATCATTACAAATGAATAAAATGTTATGCTAAGGGGATTTATATTTATATTAAGGAGAATATTTTAAAATGTATATGTCTTCACAAAATCTACTTCAAAATTATTGTTATCAGCTTGTAACACTTTTAGCAGAAAAATAATAAATTAGGCGTACTAAGATGGAATGGGGCGGGTATAATAGATTCTCTGTTAAATATAATTATGTAGACATAAAAGACAGACTTTCCCACGGAATCGTAGATGATCGCACGGATGGAAACGTGGGAAACCGCTAGTCACTTTACGAGAAATCATAATACTTTATAGAACAATATTGCTCACGTCTTCACACATTTTGATTTTATATCCTTGGATAATTCACACAGCGCCATCTAGTTCCAAGCTAAGCTAAACTTGTGTTATAGACAAATTATATAAAAACTTACATTTTTTTCATGAATACATACATTATTTAAATAGAAAACAAACATACTCATGAATACAAATCATTTTAATGTACGACATCAACTCCGCAACCATCGGAAATAAAGCTAAACAGCTATTCCACTGAGCTCGTTGGATAACCAAACGGATTTACGTTCATATTTTATTAATACAGTTTAAAAGTGATTTTATAACATGCTGTATAACAAAAATATCCTAAATCAGAAAACAAATAAATATATGAGTACCTGTTGTAACAACAATACTATAAAAACACAGTCAACTTATGGCTGTAGCCCGTTAATATTAACTTTTATCGCTTATTGGTCCGATTGAAATAAAATAATTTACAAAATAAATAAATTATACATACTGCAAGTTAAAAAGCTCTTTTTTTATTATATTAAAAGCTCAGTAATTAACCGGGAAGAAAGAATTGTTCTGTTTTCGGAACACTTTTTTTAGTAATTAATTGTAATTTTCAAGTAATTACAATATCAACTGATAAAAATTAATAGATAAAATCTTTATTAATATTCAAAACATAACAATGCTACAAACAAATATGTACGTATAAGAATGTTCTATATATAAAAAATACAATACACTTTACATACATAAACATAAACTACTGTCAATTAATGCTAAATGTTGTTAACGGATGGTAAATCTTATCAAAAGCGGTAAATTATGTCAACTGATGATAAATGCTGTCAACTGTTGGTAAATTCTGTCAACTGATGGTAAATTTTGTCATCTGATGGCAAATACTGTCAATTAATGTAAATCATGCAA